GACACATTTTTCCTATTTAATTCTCTTAAAGACTACAACCCTCAGGTTCCATTGTCGGTTTTCTTTTGAGAAAATTCATGTTTAAACTGCCCAATGCTGTTGCTTATTGTTGTAGGCAACCGGTGGGTCGTCTGGTCTGGTTCGAAACTGGAGATTGACCATATTTTGGTTCACACTCTTATCTTTGCGTCTGTTATCGCTCGAGGTAACTGTCTGGGCTTGTACTCTCGTGAATGCATCTGAAATACTACCTGGTCTGGAGAGGGCTGGCTGATAAATGTAGACAATTTGGAGTCTTGCCTGGCCTGAATCTCGGTTTGAAGTAGTGGCTTTCGTATTCTGATTAGATCCTAGTATTTTCCACAGTTCCGAGTATATGCCAGTGGCATATTATCGCATATTGGGACTTAGAGAATCGTTTTTTTCGCAAAATGGTCATATTGGCAGGAAGACTTAGAAAAACGCACCTAGTCCGGAGTCCGTTGTATGCATCATCATTTCCAAAGTTGAACTGTTGACGTGGTACATTCCCTAAACGTTTCGCAGGCATCGTCAGTTCTTAGCACCACACAACAACTCGTCAAAGAGACAAGTGAAGCCGATCCTTCCACCAAACTTGTGCTAAACAATTGTGGTCTCTCCCCTACTGCTCTGGGTTATTCACGTTTCCTGTATCATCCTATCATACCTTCACTATTACACTTTTTACTGTGTTTATTTAGATATACTGTGGTGTGCTCCTTTGAGCGACATGTAACATTCACACCCCAACTGTGAAGGGGAGATACCACAATTGTCTAGCACACGTTTGGTCAAATGATCGGCTTCAATTGTCGCTTTTGACGAGTTGTTGTGTGGTGCTAAGAGTGGCGATACTTACTGACGATGCAGGCGAAACGTCTGGGAATGTACCACGTCCACGGTTCAACTTTGGAAATGATTGCGCATACAATGGACTCCGGACTAGATGCGCTCGTCCGAGTCTTCCTGCCAATATGGCCATGTTGCGAAAACAGGGTCAACCTTGTTGAAATTCGGTCTTGTTGTCAGGGCGACTATGTAGAAAGCACCTAGTCCGAAGTCGTCTGACAGTGTACTTGATACATTCTCAAACGTTTCGCCGGAATCGTAGTCGGCATCATCAGTGAACTTTGCCATTCTCCGCACCAACATACGAACTCGTCAAATAGACAAGTCTCTTTAAGTTATGAAGAACAAGATGGTGTGACCTTTTGTGTGACTGTCATCCTCTGGACAGCTTTCTGGTTTGATCACTCTATTACGATGTAGGCATCGGTGTTGAAGACTTACTAAATAAGGCAAGTCTATTTGACGAGTTCGTACCTTGGTGCGGAGAATGGCAAAGCTCAGTCTACATCTTTCATTGAAGTGCGCTGGCCTCTTGGTATTGTTGAACTTGGTCTTGTT